TCATAAATTAGGGGGAACCGGTGGCACAGGTCCATGAGGGCTGCCGGTAGCACAGTGGGGGGAACTGGCAGAGCGACAAAATTCGAAAATGCATCGAATTACCCCCGTGATTTATTTCGCGGTTCAAATGATTTTAAATTTTTGTAAATATTTTTCCTGTAAAAATCACCTTAAAATCTATGGATCCTCAAATTTTCAGAGTTGTTGAGTCATCCTTTTGATCGCAAAAAATCGTGAAAGTTGGGTTACTTTTCCTGTTGGCCCATACGTGGTAGAGTAGCCAAAATGAAAAATGTGACGAAACGGTGCGGCATTTACTTCACGGTGTTTTTTGTTTTTTTTTTTCATTTCTTTGACATTTTTCCTGGAAAGATCACGGCCTAATCTACAGGATATCAAATTTTCAGTTTTCTTTTGTCAATTTTTTTTAGGACCGGACCCGCCTGCGCCTGCTGGTCGCCATCCCCCCTAAGAACCCGGTCCGTAAGGCCTGGAAAGTCCATTTTAGGCCGGCAAGGGTAATGGTGGTTTAACAACTTAATTTCTTTTTATTTAACAAGAGTCAAATGTAGGTTAAATTCAATACAGACCCCGACCAATAGACCAGGGCAATAGCAAGGTTGGATGATAGACTCAACAAAAGTTATTGCTAGCCAGATTTAAACTAGTCAGTAGCGAGGGAGGGTTTGCTACTAGATCATGGTTTTCGTCTTACATTGTCTTTTTCTTATAAAGCGACATGCCAAAGGCTCATCCTGTCTGCCAACGAATTCTTTTAATTGCTTTGGCGATACGGTTGAGCTGATACTACTGAGCTGATACTACTCTTACCCGTGTCGGCGGACTCTTAGCACATTGGCGTACTAACCCGTATGTTTACATGCGCGCAGTCAACCTCGTCGATGTCGGACCCGGCTGATTTATTTTAACAGACCCACCCCCCGACCTTCACCCCGGTTATTATCACGGATTAGCCATCTGGTGTGCGTCACCATCTCGCGCGCACATGCCAATCAAATTTTATTACTCATACGTCTCCGCCTCCTATGATTGAGAATCTATGCACAGAAGAAGCTAGGGCATCAACACTTTCCTCAGCATTGAGGTCACACCCTGTGCGCCATGTAAGAACACAAGTAAATAGACTTGCAAGGGTATTCAATCTGACAACGTCCCATTCGATAAGGACGTAGGTGGACGTAGGTGGACGTAGGTGGCAGTACAACCTCGACTCATCAGTCGAGGCAATATTCCCAGAACCGGGTTTGTGGGCTCAACATTCCCTTTTCCATAGTCCAGTCATACCCTGTATATTTAGCAAAAACACGAGCACATACCATTGCAAGGGTATTTGCTATTTGCTCCAACAGCATGTGGGCAGACAAACACCAGTAGGCAACAATGACAAACAGTACAAGGCAACAAGGGGAAAGCAAACGAAAAACGATGAAGGAAAAGGCATAAGGCAACAAGGCATGTGACAATGAGCAGCAACAGAGCACAAAGGCCGGAGGGCAAGCGGGAGGGGGGTGGACACACAAAGGCATAAGGCAAAAAGGCATAGGATGACACAGGCAGCAACAAAGAATAAAAGCTGAAGGGCACGGGAAGGCGGAAGGGCGGGCAACAAGCAAGCACACAAGACAGGCAAACCAAAAACAATACAAGTCTAAGAAAAAAAAGCAAAGACTGAAAAAAAACAAAAAAAAAAGAAGCTGATGATGAAATATTGTTTCGTTGGAGTTGCACTGATTCATCAGGAGGCTGAACCCTCGACAATCTGTGGAAATCTCCGCATTTGATGGTTTGGGTCATGAACCCTTTGACCCTTGTTGAGGCTGACTGTCCCCAAACACAACACAGCAGTGGGCAGCTACCCAGCAAAGCACCAGGCAGCGCTGCAGAGGTATACGACTGCTCACCGCCAAAGACTACTGCAAGGAACAACAATGCAAGCGGACGCACATGTCTCTTATACACATCTAGATGTGTATAAGAGACAGGTATACGACTGCTCACCGCCAAAGACTACTGCAAGGAACAACAATGCAAGCGGACGCACAGCATGGCAACCACACAGTGAAGTACAACTTGAAGGCAACACCAAGAACACAGCAGTGGGCAGCTACCCAGCGAAGCAACAGGCAGCGCTGCAGAGGTATACGACTGCTCACCGCCAAAGACTACTGCAAGGAACAACAAGGCAAGCGGACGCACAGCGTGGCAACCACACAGTGAAGTACAACTTGAAGGCAAACACCAAGAAGGCAGCCACACACAAAGCAACAAGCAAAAACTCAGCGAAGCACCAGGCAACGCTGTCAGAGCAACCTAACTGCACAACGGTAAAGACTACTACAAGGAACGACAGGGCGGGTGAACGAGCAGCATGGCAACCGTGCAACGAAGCACAAGGCAACACCAAGAAGATAACCAAACTACAGGGCACACAAGCAACAGACACGAAGGGACGGCCAGCGGATGGTCAACAAGGCAGCGGAGCAGCGAAGCGCAAGCCGACACCAACAAAACAGCCACACAACACAGCTGACACAGAAGCTTGCCAAGAACGAGCTGTGAAGCAAGCGTAAAGGGCAGCAAGGCAGCGGTGGAGCGCAGGCAAGACATCCACACATCCGACAAGGAGCAAAGTGGCACATCGCCCACTCACATCACAGGTGAACCCTGCAGACTGTTGGTTCCCACCACACACTGAGCTAGGGAGTGTCGCTCCGACGAGCATCCATCATCACCCGTAAGACAGACAGACATCCCGGACTTAGCAGCCCCCTTAAGAGTGCTGCAGGCACACCAAACCATTTGTCACTACTGAAAGGTGCTCAGTTGGGGCGACAAAACATACTTAGAAAAAAAAACAGAAAAAGAACAAACAACAAAACAAATAGACATACATAAAACTGATTGTGTGTGTGTGTGTGTGTGTGTGTGTAGCATGTGTGTGTGTGTGCGTGTGTGTGTGTGTGTGTGTGTAGCATGTGTGTGTGTGTGCGTGTGTGTGTGTGTGTGCGTGTGTTTATGTATGTGATCATGCATTTGCATGTGCCCATGCATTTGAGCTTGAAACAACTAGGAAAATAATTAAAAAAAAGGGGAAAAAAAAGGAAAGAGAAGGAAATTCACAGAGTTTTCATTTGTGGCCAAGTCCCACTTACGCTGCCCTCTTGCCTGTAGGTTTATTCAACAGCCGGGGCCAAGTCCCACTTACGCTGATCGTTCATTCTTGACCATTGATCTTCCCAATCGATGGTCGGCAATTGAGAATTCAAGTAAGTGGGACTTGGCCCCCCCGCAGGTACCAGTACCTGCTTCCTTTCTGGGACTGGTTGCTTATGTGGCACTGCACACCATCACTGAACCTCACTGGTCCAATATTTCCCACCGGGAAGCCAAGCGACACATTCATTCTAAACTAAAAAAAGCAGCCAGGTGGTGGGTGTAGTGATGAAATCAGCCACTGCCAAGGCATCCCTATACCAATCTTCCATCCCTGATCTGGTAAAGTTTCCCTTCTTTTTTTTGAAAGAATATAATTTCATTTGAACTCATTCACTAAACCACCAGTACCTCCAAAAGTCACAGTGGTTAACAATCCGGGACATGAACGAACGGGCCACTACGGGAGCGCCCAAATTCATCCGGCTAGAAACGCTTCTACTCTATTTTTTCCTGCGGCTGACATATGCAAAAGGTACTGGGGGTTTAACAGTTGCGTGCCATTCAGCCGCATGTGCTGGGGGGGTCTATTTATCAAGATGGCGACGCAAAAACCTCATCTTTTTTAACATATACCGGCACCGAGAGCGGATTCAGACATGGCTTCCCCAAGCGCTCGTCATCGAACCTGCAGGTTCGACATGTGACGCCCAAGCATAGTGGTGGTCCAAGGGTGAGCCAGACTGGTGCCAAATTTATGCTAAGCTACTACGTATCTGGCCATTTCCACAACCAGGTTCTTGACTTCAAGCATGAACAGAGCAGCAGTGGGGGTATAAGGGGAGAATCTAACACTGCCATTCAAAGGGAGGAGTACAAAAGCTTCCGGCTACGCGCTGCATCCCTTCTGGGATGCTCCAGCCATTCGTTCGCTATTGTGCGGCTACGCGCTGCATCCCTTCTGGGATGCTCCAGCCATTCATTTGCTATTGTGCTATGCGAGCAATATAAAGAGTTTGTCAACAGCTTCTCTTCCAACTTTGTAGAGCGACAGGCAAATCAATACCAATCCAATCTTTTTGCTCTCCTCCCCACCCACAGAAGAAGGTTCGGTGGTTGGAACACAGCTGTGTTCCACAGACTAGCAAGCAGCGTGCCCTTGAAGATGAAGGACGGACAGAAAAAAGACTGTATAAGCTAGAACTGAAGTGAAATGAACAGGAGTATGAAGCTCTGAAGAGAAATGCACAGGAGCATACCTTCCCTTTTACTCTGCCTCCTGAAATAACGTGCAAGTGGGCCGTAGAGGCAACACAGGGATGTGGGCAGCTGCCGCTCAACCACAACCAACGTGGGCAGCCGTAAGAGGCACAGTAAAAGGGGAGCTGCAAGAACAATGGAAGGGCTACCCCAAGGACAACCAAAAAACTGTCTAATTATAAAATTGCTTGAATATGTTGGATTGTGACTCTCTCATCTCAAATCCTCTCGTTGTCTGCAATAGGACAAAGACTGCTTTGATTCTGAATCTATTCATCTCGGTGGAATTGGGGTTATTGTGGGGAAAATCTATAACACACACACACACACACAGCTCTCTCTCTCTCTCTCTCTCTCTCTCTCTCTCTCTCTCTCTCTCTCTCTCTCGGTGGAATTGGGGTTATTGTGGGGAAAATCTATAACACACACACACACAGCTCTCTCTCTCTCTCTCTCTCTCTCTCTCTCTCTCTCTCTCTCTCTCTCTCTCACACACACACACACACACACACACACACACACACACACACAGACACACACACACACACAGAGTGCCTCTGTTCTGGTAAAGTTCCTCCTCTTTATCAGGTAAAAGGGCAAGCCCAAAATTTTGCTTTGCAGGGCCCTTGCCTGCTTTTGTACGGAAGCAAAATGCAGTACGGAACAAAACAAGCTTGGTGAAGAACTTGGAGACAAATGAAAAATGAAGCGCTGACTGAGTAACTGATACTTCAATCCGGATTGCTCAAAAAAAAAACAAAAAAAAAAACACCCGGATTGAAGACTGGCAGATGCCAGGTACCATGCCACACCTTTTCTCATCAATATCGAAAAACAAACGCCTCGTCAATACTCTCTCTCACCCATCTGGTTTCCTGAGCTCCTTCCACTCCATTTCCTTTGCCTCCTCCTTTCCCCGTAATAATCTTTTTTCTTTAAAATGAGGCCAATCAGTATTGAACCTACGACCTCCTGAATGCAACTCGTGTGCCTTACCAACTGCGTTACGCCTGCAGGCCCCGCAGTCTTTTTTTTTTTTTTTTTTTTTTTTTTTTGAAAGCCCAGGTTGTTGTAGAGGTGAGCGCAATCTTTTTTCTATACAGCACAAGGGGAGTTGAAAAATAGCTGCTGGATGTTTCACGACCCACAAAAAGCGAGCCGCAGCTGACAGACAGTTTCCTTGCCAAGGGAGTTCACGCTGATCAACAGACTTCTTTCTTTGGCAGCAATCCTGACAAGCACACGGCCAAAGAAATGTGTGCATCTACAAAGTAGTTGAGAAAGACGCGGTTAGCTATGAAAAGAAACAGAGAGAGAGAGAGAAAGACGCAGTTATCTATGAAAAAAGAGAGAGAGAGAGAGAGAGAGAGAAAGAAAGAAAGACGCAGTTAGGTGGAGAAGGCAAAAATGAAAGGAGAAGGCAAGGCGTCCCAAAAGGGGGATGATGCCGTAAACAACGGACGGACTTCTATCTCCAGGAGCAACACTCATGACCGCAGCCAAGGAAATGTCCCACCGTATTTACACAGCAGCAGAGGTACGGGTAGGAGAAGAGGAGCACGAAAAAAAAAAAAAAAAAAAAAAAAAAAAGGAAAATCAGCACGGTATGGTAAAAAAACTTAAACTTAACAATGTATACAAAAAAAAAGGAAAATCAGCACGGTATGGTAAAAAAACTTAACAATGTAAAAAAAAAAAAAAAAAAAAAAAAAAAAACTTCAAAAAGGTCAAAATTGCACGACAACGATCCAGCTGGAAGCAGGAACAAGCGCGTTGTCACTGACAAACCCAGACTTGGGAATTGTGGCTAACGTACACGGACTTCGGCAATCCCGATGGACTCTGGCCGCCTAGTAAATGACAGCCAGGCCCTTGACCTCTTCGACCAGCTCCTTGTACTCACTTTGCAGCTTGGCAGCATCTTCTTCACTAACTTCTGCCTTGGCACCTGACGGTATGACAAGAACACAGCTGGTAGGCCGCTTGCTCTGCCCTGCGGCGCCAAGGTCCTCTTTTGAAGGAACGAACACGTATGGAACATCCGATTCTTCACACAGAACTGGAAGATGTGATATCACGTCGATAGGCGAGATGTTGCCAGCAATAATACACAGTCCTTTCGCTCCTTTACGAAGAGCCTTCACGACTTCCTTGACCCCTCGTTTCAGTTGCTTGCTCTTGGAAGCTCGTTTCACAAGCTTCAGCGCCTTCTTGTTGAGCTTCTTACCGGCGAGGGGCTTGGCAATGGGCGATATAGACTGCCATTTTAACTTCTCCTTTCTCTCAGTCTCTGAATCGCTCCCCATCTGAATCTGATAAGACCTTCTTCACTGCAACACTAACTAGCGTACAGAGACAGACAGGCACCTGATTGCTTCCAGCCTCCTCCCCAGACAGACAGACACACACACACACACACACACACACACACACACACAGAGTGATCCGCACTGATCACTTTCCTGCATTACACAAGAAGCCAGCCAAACACACACACACGCATACATCCTGGTTAAAACCAACACAAGCATGGACACAAGCATGGACACACACACAGGCACACACACACGCACACACACACACACACACACACACACAGCCAATCACTTTTCTCAGGGACATCGGCTACTCTGGGCAACGCCGCCAGTCCTTTTCCATCAGTACTAGATGACCTGTCGCAGCTTCGCTCGCAAACAAAAGATGGGGGGTGCATCTTCTCGTGGTAGAGGGTGCCTGTTTATTCAATGAAGCAATGTTGATAGACAATGGCTTGCTTCGCACGCACTGATTAATTATCGATTACAGGTGTGGCAGCAAGGAGAGAGCGGCCCGGGGGAAGGGAAGGCGAGACACAGAGAGAGAGAGAGAGGAGCAGGAAAATTTGTGAGCAATGGTGCGTCAACTGGCGATCTCTCTCTCTCTCTCTCTCTCTCTCTCTCTCTCTCTCTCTCTCTC